GTCAGGCCTTAAAACATATGCTGGAATCCTACTAGTGTTCAAGCAAGGTTCACGTCAATGTAAGTGATGTACTAGAGGAGGAGAATTGCCTTGACCCATTTCAATCTGGGTTCAGGCTGCAGCATGGCACCAAGACAGTATAGGCTGCGAAGCACGATGACCATTTAAGGGTGGCCAACAGAGTAGGAATGTCTTTTGGATCTTTCAGCAGCTTTTGATACTGTTGACTACAGTATCCTCCTGGACAGGCTGTCAGGTACAGGAATCGGGCTGGCGCTCAGCTGGCTCTGATCCTTCCTCAATAGTCATGTACAGAGAGTACAGCTTGGGAAGGAACTGTCAGCCCCTTGGACTCTCAACTGTGCGGTGCTCCAGGGGTCACCACTCTCCCCAATGCTCTTTAATAGCTATATAAAGCCACTGGGGGAGGTTATCCCAAGATTTGGAGTGTGCTGCCATCAGTATGCTGATGACATGCAATTCTATCTCTCCTTTACATCCTCTGCAGCGGATGTTGTCTGTGTGCTTGTTTCTGCCTGGCTTCAGTTCTGGAATGGACCAAGGCTAACCAACTGAAATTGAACATGGAGAAGACAGAGACTCTTCTTCTGGGGTGGGAACCCTTCCAACAGGTTGGGAGAGTCTCTCCCTAAATTGGACAGGTTAACACTTCCACATAGGGACTAAGTTTGGAACCTGGGCTGTTCCTGGACCTGGCTCTCTCGTAGGATTCCCAGACTGCAGTCCAACTTGACCTTCAACCAACTGAAGCTAATTGCTCAGCTCTGCCCCATCTGAACAAGGCCATGAAGATGTTAGTTCATGCACTGGTCATCTCCAAGACTGACTACTGCAATGCTCTCTACACGGGGCTTCCTTTGAGACTGACCTGGAAACTTCTATACATTTAGAATGCAGCCACCAGGCTGGTGTCAAATGTGAGTAAATTTGACTACATTACCCCAGACCTGGCTCGCCTGCACCGGTTGCCTGCCTGGACCAGTTTCAAAATTTTGATTCTTTCCTACAAAGCCTTTCACGGGTTGGGCCCTTGTTACTTGTCAGAGTTCCTTTCCCCAAGAACTATGACCCATGCCACCAGATCTTTGCAGGCAATGTTTCTATGGGTTGCCACACCAAGGGAGACCAGAAAGATATCCACCAGACATTGGGCCTTCTTGGCAGTGGCACCAGCCCTTTGGAACAGGGCAAATACAGTTTTTAATCATTTGATTAATATAAAAAAGTTAATAGTAAACAATATTTTTACTATCTTTCATCTGGTGGACTTCTGTGTCTTCGATCTGGATAAAATAACATGCTAGCCACACATGCACAGACTTTGACAATTCTGCCTAGAAGCTGCAACTGGTTCACAACAAGGTCATATTTTGTTATGAAGCAAATTTTGGAAAAGCATATTGTACAGATGCCCTGGACTTTACAACCACTTATGAAGCACTATGAAGACTGTAGTTGAACTGTCTGCTTTGCATACTATGTAGGCAGTAATAGCCAGGTACAGCAAGGCTTCTGTAAGGATCATGCCACTGCATTTTTCAAAGGCAAAATAAGACCTTTCGACTTGAATTACAATCTGATAGCCAAGAAGACACAATTACGCATAAAGAACAGATTCACTGTTGACTTATAACATTTACATCTCATTTTCCTTCCAGTGAGTTCAAGACAACATACACAGCTCTCCTCTGCAATGCATCTGAACAACCCCATGCAGCCGGTCAAACTCAGATAATGTGAGAACAGCCCAAGGTTACCCAGCAAGTTTTAAGGTTCATCACAGGACTAGAACCTGCATGTGCCAAGCCCCAGTCCAGCACCAACCACCTTTTTAACATGAACAAGTTCAAGGGACAAGCAAACACAACTGAATGCTAAAATAGCAATCAAACGAATTGCAAAAGAAAAATATAGATGAAAATGGTGGCATTCTGGCACCCCAGTGGCTCCTTATGTTATGTACTCATTCTAAGTTACTCTATAAGTTCACCTGGCTCCATACTGTCTCCTGTGACAGCACCTCTTCCAGCATCTCAGGAACTACCTACCCGAAGTCACCTTAATTAGAAGATGCTAGGGACTGACTCAAAAAATACCTGAGAACAAAGCATTGTCATGTATCCAACCCTATAGTGCCTCCCCTCCCACTTTCATGCCTTAAGCATGTAGATTCACCATGCTGGGCCATTTAAATACACACACAGTTAAGATAGGAGGCTAGAGATCATCCCAAATCTTGCTGACCTTCCACAGTCTAAAATATATTGGCCAATATATTGTCTACATTATCATATTTAGCTTTTCTAGAAATCTCTACACAGAAAAAGCATAAATAAAATACCAGAAACATGGGACTTCTAATTTCATGCCAAAACATTAAACGTTTTTTTAATGAGGTTCCATCATAAAAGCAAGGAAATCACTGTAAAGGGGAAACAAACTTGTTCCTGGTAAATTCAGAAGTGGTACACCCAAAAAGATGGAATATTAAAATATTACTTCAGTTTTATTTCTGTTTTTTATAACCATAAAATCAGGGAAGTGGTGAAGAAAGGAATCAGAATGAATCTTTATTCTTTCCTGCCCAGCTATTTCAAAATGGACAATTGCAACATCTAAGCAGCAAACAGTATGGTTCAGTGATCCATTATTTGGAACCCTTAAAGCTTCCCCAAGAATGAGCTGATTCTATTGTACTTTTATCAACTAAACAGACTTGAAGTTATCTTTCCAATATCCCAGTGAAGGTAAAGGATTAGCACTATGAATGTTTGGCATTCCATAGCAGAACACATTCCTTTTCTCAATCTTTAAGTTACAGGAATGCACAGACTACTACCAGGAACCCAACAAGAAAATCTGTATCATTCTACATGAAAAAGAAAATAATTAGAATAGCACATTTAATTAAGGCCACTTTGGGCTTTTTTTTAGAAGAAGAAAAAGAAAGGCACACACTTTTTTTTCTAGTGAAAAAAGACTGCAATTAAAAGAAGGACCTATACAGATTGCATGGAATGAATATTCCACCTCCTCATGCTGGCCAGGCTAACAGCAAAAACATAACTACTGTATTACATACTTCACATAAGTGTACAAGGACCATCACAATGATCCCATTTATCACATGAGAAGAAACATCACCTCTTAGTGGAACGATTTGCAATCTTAGATACCGTAAATGCTCAGAAGTCTCCTAACAAAACAACTTTTTTTAATGACTATTTTTTTAAGACAAAACTTTATCAATCCAACAAATATAGCATGACTATTCTGAATAAAGAAAATATATAAAGACTAATATACTTCTGAGAATTCAGTGCTGTTGTTCAATTTAATTACAGTATACAAATATACTGCAAGTCCTTGATATTATGACTGTCTGACACCATTCCTCTTTAAAGTATTTATTTATTATTTATTTACCGTTGTTTGTAGGCTGCCCATCTCCAAATCTCCCAATGAGGGGACTCAAACAGCAGTTCATGCCATTTATTATATATCATTTGCCATTTCTATCTTTGACTCTTATTGTTTGTGTCCCAAAATGACAAAAATAAAGTAATGTGACCTTACATACATAGACTGTGCAGAACACAGTAGCTGTTGCCTCCTTAGTATGGGTAAATTCAGAAATTACCTAAGGTGTACATGTATATATATAAAACCAGCTTCAAATGTGTATGAAAAGAGACAATTTTATATACTTAAGTTACAATTGTTTTATTCATCTTGTAAATCCATAATACAGTAAAAATGAAGGTTATTAATACTGCATGTGCTTCCATGCGCTTTAATGCCCAGTTATTCGCCACTGTTTCAGAGAACTTCATACGGCTGACCCAAGCAAGGAGATACTATAGAAAGCCCTCCATATGTACAGTGAGCCTAGGAGGTCAGCTACACAAAACCTGGGAAACAAATCAGGAGGGCTAATGTCAAGGTTTGGCATATCCGTGCACCTGTCTAGGGGCTGCTACCAAGATTGCCCACCCATTCCTCCTCTTCACCACTGCGACATCCTTGTTCACCCGCCTTTTGCTCTAGCCCAAAAATGTGCATGTGAAGAAGCAAACACCGCCTGCTTGCTCCTCCATTCTTTACCTGCCAGGCAAGCAGATGATAGCAATAATGAGCAAGAGGGCAAAGAGCAACAGCCCACAACTAGACTGGCCAGAGAGCAGACCCAGTGAAGCAAAGGAACCAAATGAGCAATGCCTTGCGCAAGGGCCCTCCAAAACTCAGAGCTGACACTGCAGATCAGCACAGAGCCAAACTGCTTGGCATTAGTGGGCTGCAAAGATAAGGCCCAGTCAAACACTAGTTTCCAGTTGAAACCATCTGCAAGTGACAAGAACCAAGATCTCATCCGGCAGTTAAGAGCCACACCAGGAGTGGGGCTTGGCTTCCGCTCTTCTTGTTCCACCCCACAGTACAGAACAATGCTACTGACATTCCTATGGGATCCAAGAGTGCAATAGTACGCTGGAGGCAGAGACTTTTAAAAAATGTGTTGCCTATATTTCTTCTGCACTGACACACACAGAGCCGCAGGGTCCCCCAAGAGAGGGCCAGGGTCAGCCCTGCAGAGGCTTGCCAAGTCCGGCCCTCCCAGAAACATCCATTTATGACCCCAGAATTGAAACATCGTGCCTGCAAACACGTGCCAAGGAGGAGTCGGTGGGCCCATAAAGGAGGACACCCCCCCTAACTTTCCGACTTTGGGGAGGAGGGCAGAGCCGAAAAAGAAACAATAAACAGGATGTTCCCGTTCGGGTGACACCCCGCAGGACCGAGATTTGGGATTGAGGGAGGGGGAAATAAAAAGGCCCTAGGGTTTGGCAGCGACCTAAACAAGATACCTCCAACCTTCCCTCCAAAAAAGCACAGGAAAACAGGTGGGGGAAAGGTGGAGGTGCTTGCCATGGCACCCCTGCCCACCCCTCCGCCAAAACAAAAAACAAAACAGGCTACCTCACCTTAACCCTAACCTCGTAGGTCGTGAACCGGCCCCTGCCCACGCCAACCGTCTGCGGGTTGGACACGTCGATCTCGAGGAAGTTGCTGGGGGGCCCGTAGGCGTCATTGAGGTTCTGAGGCTTGGTAATCAGGCGCCGGGTGTCCGCGACGGTCTCGGCCATTTCCCGCGCCCTCCCGCTCACACCCGCCGGGACCTTTTCAGCCGGGGAAACGCAGAGCCAAGCTGCCACAGAGACCCCGCACGTAGGGAGGGGGGAAGAAGGGGGGCGGAAGAAGGGAGAGAAGGCTGGGAGTCCCCCTTGAACGTCACAGCACCGCCACCCAATCCCCCCTCCTCCTCCTGCCTTCTTATTCACGGGCGCCCAGCGGCCGCG